AACCCGCGGCTGCGGCGCTCCCAGCGCCGCACTCTCCCGAGTGAGCCACAGGGTTGGTCCGAACCTCTCTTTTATTTTATGAAAATGTCACTGACTTCCCACAGTTTTCTTGGAAAGTAAACTGGCTCTCTGGCAGTTAAACTCCAGAGTCAATTCTCACAGGCCAAGGCTGGTGCCATCCCACTCCCTCTAAGCAGCTTGAGACAGAGCAGTGATTTCAAAGTTTCTATTTGAGACAATTCTCCTGGGACATCCACTAAAATGCAGATGCATGGGCATCCCCCCAAGAGTCTAGTTAAGCAGATCAAGGGCTCAAGAATCTGTATTCCTAACCCAGAGTCCCAGGTGATTCTTACAATTGATTGGAGTGTTTGGGGACAGGCAGATAGAAATGCATATTCCTGGCAAAGCAGACAGCCTGTGCAAAGGCCCTGGGGCATGAGAGAGATGAGATCAAGGAATCTCACTCATGTATTCCACAGCACTTGGAACAAAATCTTCACACCTTTTCCCATGATCTGAGGCCTGAAGCCCCCTCTTGCTCTGGGCTCCAAAGCCTGGCCATTCTCTCCTGGCTCACTTGCCTGGTCATGTTGGTGTCTGTCAGTCTGGAAAATAGGCCTGCATGATTGCTGTTCCTCTGCTTGAAATGTTTCCTTCTAGTCTTGCCATGGCTGATTCCTTCCCACCCTGCACACTTCCACTTAAATGTCACCTCTTCACAGAGGCCTCCCCAGCCACCCCTCTAGAGCAGGGTCTCCATTCTTCTCTAGAACCACATACTGTTTATTTTGTAACACCAGAAATTACCAAGAATTATCTTATTAACATGTGTTCTTTGAGGTCAGAAACTTTGTTTTGTTCATGGTTGGACCCCCGGTAGCTAAGTCAGTGCTCAGCACCTACAGCAGTGGGCAATGACATACTTGTGGAATGAATTAAGAGTTCTGTGTGGCTAGAGTGAGAGAAGACTAGGCCAAAGTGGGGTGTGGGACCAGGAGCCAGAGCATGGATGTTCTCTGGTGGACATTCCTGCCAACTCCCACCCACCTCTGCTGTAGGAAGATGAGCTTTCATGTCCCATGGTGGCCCGGGCATTACCTGCTTGATCACTCAGCTGGTTATAGCTCAGGTCCAGGGATTTCAAGCCTGTGTGCGCCAGGAGGAGTTCAGCAAGGTACTGGGCTGCCTGCTCCTCCAGGCCGTTCCCTGACAGCTGGATCTTCTCCACAGCCTGGTTCACTGCAAAGGCAGCACAGAGGGCCTGGGCTCCCGCTGCTCCCAGCTGGTTCTCCGACAGATCCACATCTGGGGGCCAGCACCACTCCTCAGTCAGTGGGATGCAAAGCCAGGCACCACCCTCCTCCCCTTTCTTCCATCTCCCAAACCTCCAGGCCTGAGGTAGAGGAAGGGGCTTGTGCTTGGACTGTCCTGAGGCTGCATGGTGGCTCTGCCACCCATTGGCTGGGTTCCCTCGGCTCCCGACATCCCCCTCTCTGCATGTCCACCAGTTTCTCTGTCAAGGGGTTAGAACCACCTTCCTTGTGGTGCTGGGGACAATGCTGCGGTGAAAGGGCAGCCACCCTATTGGTGACTCATGTCTGGCAGCAGTATAACTCGCCCACAGAAGTACCCACTGCCCCCTTGCCAGGGACTGGCAATAACAGCCCAGGTGGTGGTGCACAGAGCATTTACGTGAGACAGAAACTTAGCTGACCACTTTGCGTTTGAAGTTTCTTTTCCTTTTTTTTTTTTTTAAAGATGACCGGTAAGGGGATCTCAACCCTTGGCTTGGTGTTGTCAGCACCACGCTCAGCCAGTGAGCCAACCGGCCATCCCTATATGGGATCCGAACCTGTGGCCTTGGTGTTATCAGCACCACACTCTCCCAAGTGAGCCACGGGTGGCCCTGAAGTTTCATTTAATCACCCAAGGGCTAAGTGGTATTGGTGGAGTCATTTCAGGTTGGAAACTGAGGCTCAGCAAGGTTGAGCTGCTTGCCCAGGTCAGCCTGCTCTTTAGTGGCAGAGTTGGCTTTTGGATCCGGCCCCATCAAACTCCTACCTGCCCCCCCTGCTCTCGCTCTTCTCACACTGCCCAGCCCCGACCTCTCTGAGTTGAAGGACTCTCCCCCACTGCATCCAGGCACTGGGAGTCCACCGTGTGCCAGGGTGCTGGCCAGCAGAGGAGGGGAGTGGGTAAGACAGGGAGGGTCAGGGAGGGAGTGCTGTCCAGCACTGGGTGCACTACAGAGGGTCTAACTCCACCCTATGCACCCCACTTTGTGCTGAGGTCCCTCTCCCAGCCCCAGCAACAGCAGCAGGCCACAGGTGAGAAGGCTGGGCTTGGAGGACTGCATCCCTGAAGAAAGGAGGGACTCAAGCCTGCCCACCTGCCCCACGCTAAGCACCTACCACAGACACTACTGTTTTTGCTCAGGGCATCTGCCAGGGCCTCTGCACCAGCCACACAGAGTCCATTGTCTCGAAGGTCCAGCCGCTTGATATAGGGATTGGAAGTCAATGTGGAAGCCAGTGCCTGGACCCCCTGGGATAGAGAAGAGGGGCCTGAGGGGTCTGGTTCTTCCCAAGGCTGAGGGTCCCAGACACAGCTGGCCACTATCCTGCTCCCAGGGGTCAGCCCATTCATCATCTTCCCGCTGGAAAACCTTCCCCTTCCCACATGCCCAGGGGACACCTGCTTCTTCTTCTAGAGGAAAATGACACCCTGCCCAGATCTCACCTCCTGGAGCCTTCCCTGAAGCCCCACTAGGCTAGGGGTCTGTAGGTTCCCCAGCCTCGATCCCATCTGTCTCCTGGATGTGGGGGATGGGACATGCCTGGCACAGAGGAAGGCTGGGGGTGTGTGGGATGCACTCAGGGAGGGGCACTCCCGTGGCTACTGTCTACTGGGTCCTACCACTTCAAGCCTGGCCCCAGTGTTCCTCCAGCAATACCTGGGGCCCCAGGCCACGGTGCCGCAGGTTCAGCTCCGGGGCTGGCACTACACTATAGGTGCGGCGAGACCCCAGGTAGAGGGTGTCTCTGTCCAGTTTTCCAAGTCCATGGGTGCCTGACAGGAGACAGGGGGACAAATGTGGATCCCTTCCTGGGCACAACCACCTGCCTCTTCCCCTTCCCTCCTTCATTACTTGGCCTATGTTTCCCCTCTAGAGGTGTTTCTTCCTGTGCTAGTTGGGATTATTGCCCCCATATTATAGATGAGGACATTGATGCTCAGAAAAAGCAAATGCTTTCCCCAAAGTCACACAGCTAGTAGTAGCTAATCCTAGCAGAATTAGGATAAGGACTCTGCCTGTCTGACGCCAAAGTGCATGCTGTGTCTCTCCCCGGGGGATTGCAGAGCACAAACGTTTTATGAACATCTTTTTTCTTTTTTTTTCTTTTTTTTGTTTGTGACCGGTAAGGGATTGTAACCCTTGGCTTGGTGTCGTCCGTACCACGCTCAACCAGTGAGCGCACCGGCCACCCCTATATAGGAACCGAACCCTCGGCCTCGGCGCTCCCAGCGCCGCCCTCTCCCAAGTGAGCCACGGGGCCGGCCCTTAGGAACATCTTATGCGGACAAAAACTGAAACAATTCTAAATTCTCTGTACCCACTGGCTTAGGTTTTCCTGTGGGCTGGGAAAGTCCAGCTCTGGTCCCATTTCAGGGTGGGACACTGTTTGGCGGGGTTTTGCACTTTAACGTCATTCTGGAAGCATGTTCTAATGATGGAACTCCTGATACCGCTGGGAAGAGCACCGGAGCTGGAGGGGATGCTGGTTGCCCTGAAGGCGTCCCACACAGGGACGCGTCCTCTCCTGGACAGGGATCCCCTACCCACTCGGCCCCAGCCCGCTTCCCTCCGCCCCTGCCAAAGAAACCCCCAAAGTGAGGAGAGAGGCCTGATCCCCACGCCGGGGGCACCTTCCGTCTCCAGGTCTGAGTCCGAATCTGCGTCCGAACCGTCCTCGGCCTCCAGGAACCCTGCAAGATGCCCAGCGGCCGCCGCCGCCTCTACCTCCTGCTCTTGGTTCTCCTCAGACCTCTCGCAGGTACTACTCATGGCTACGCGCCTTTCTCAGTCGCCGGCACTGAGGGCAGGACAGCGCGGAGCCACGCCTAGAGCGCGGCCCGGGAATGTGGGAGGACCCTCCGGCTGCGCTGACCAATCGAATGTGGCGCACAGCGAACGGGCGTCCGCCGCAGCCAATAGGGACGCGCTGTTCCCGCGGGGGTCGCCCGGGCAACGCGATCTTGTTGGTTGCCGCAGAGACTGCTGCTGCCCTGAGCTGACCTCGTCGCCAGGGCGGATCAAAACACTCCCCGCGGACCAGGAGCAAGGCTGGGCGCCTTGCGGGCGTTTATACTCCCTGTCGCCCTATGAGTTTGCAGTCCCTTCCACGGACTGGGAAACACACCTGACTCCAGAGCTTGTGCTTTCGTCGCTGCACTTGCGGGGTGGGGGCAGCTCTATGAGAGGGCCTGGGGAGCCTTGCTGAGCCGGGTCCCCCTCCTCTCTGGAGCCAGAGTCACACTCTCACTCTGTGGCTCTCAGTCTGTCCTTTGAATACGCTGCTCCCTCCACCAGGAACATTTCTCTCCGGCTTGGTTTGTTGAACTTCAGAATCGGCAAGCGTCAGCTTAGAAGCCACTTCTTCCTGAAGCTTTCCTTAGCCCGTCCTCTGGCCCCATGCTGTCTCTCACAACACTCACAACACCTGCCATCACCACTCTCCTCCCAAGGAAGTTAGGCCAGAGAGCAGGGACAGGGCTGCTCCTCTCTGTGAGGGACTCTGGAGAAGGTGGGAAGCCCTGGGTAGCTGGGGCATGGGACTGAGGGCTGGGGGGTAGAGGCTGGATCCTGCCCAGGTGGAAGTGTCCCTTTAATAGCAGCTGGCCTGACCCGATTGGGCGCCCGCTTTGCCTCCTGTTCGGCTGTGGCTGCAGCTGCTGTGCTGACTCATGCGCCCTCGCAGCCAGCAGGAGCTGGGAGCATGGGCTCCCCAGGGGCCTCAGCAGGCTGGGGGCTTCTGGATTACAAGACGGAGAAGTATGTGATGACCAGGAACTGGCGGGTGGGCATCCTGCAGAGGATGCTACAGCTCGGGGTCGTGGCCTATGTCGTGGGGTAAGAGAGAAAAGCTCTTGGCCATGTTGGCTGGAGGAATCATGGTTGGTCCCGCTGGGCTGAGGGTTGTGGGTTTGGCTCTTTAGGGGCTGGGCTGGTGGGGGTGGAGGTGGCAGTTTGGAACAATGTAGGGGGTAGGCAGAAGGAGGGATCTCCATCTGTTCAGAGGCCAGTGGATACAAGAACAAGCTGTGTGATTCTGTCCTAAGTGCCCACCTTTCCAGAGCATTGTCCCCCCCCTCCCATGTTGGGCTTGGGACACAGAGCAGGATAGGCCCCACCCCTGCGTAGGAGATGCCCTGGAGGGGCAGAAGGTGGTACCTGATATTTGTGAGAGCTGGGGCACTAAGGCCCCGCAGAGAGACCACAAGTTCTTTTTTCTTTTCTTTTTTTTTTTTAATTCCTTTTTGTCTTTTTTACTGACCGGCAACGGGATCGCAACCCTCGGTGCTGCGTCTGCACCGCGCTCAGCCAGTGAGCAGGAACCGGTCTCCACATGGGATCTGAACCCTCGGCGGGAGCGCTGCCACTCTCCCAAGCGGCGCACTCTCCAGTGCGCCACTGGGCCGGCCCGAGACCACAAGTTCTAACTGGGGGTCAGGGGAGTCTTTAAGGAGGGAGCTGGGCCTAGCCAAGGGTTGATTGTTAGCTGAGGAAGGTGGTGGTGACGGGCATCTCTGTCTGAGGACACTGACTCTCCAATACATGTTGGAGCTCCTGGCCTGTTCAGGGGATCTGTGGTGGGATGTGAGGCTGGAGAGGAGGCAGGGGTCCTTGGCGCTGGACTGGGAGCCCATAAGGTGTGTGGAGAGAGAACTGTCAGGCCCAGCTCTGCCACTGCTCACTGCGTGCTGAGGACACACCACACTGCCCATCACCTCCTCCCCAGGTGGGCCCTTCTCACCAATAAAGGCTACCAGGAGCGGGACCTGGATCCCCAGATTTCCATCATCACCAAACTCAAAGGGGTTTCTGTGACTCAGATCAAGGAGCTTGGGAACCGGCTGTGGGATGTGGCTGACTTCGTGAAGCCACCGCAGGTGGGTGGGTGCCCTGGTGCTTCTGCTGGGGGCCTGAGTTATTCTCTTGCTGACAGCTCAGACAGCACCCTTGCAGCGAGTGTGTGCAAGGAGAGGCATGGGATGCCAGAGGGTGGCTGGAACGGCAGGGAGGGCCTCAGAGAGGCGCAGCACCTGGGCACAGCTTGCAGGCATGTGTAGAAGGTTTCCGGGTGGATGAGGGGAAGGTCGGGAAGCCAGGCCAGAAGAACTGCATTTACAAAAGCTGCATCTGGAAAAGAGTGCAGTGTCTGAGACTCAAGGCTTGAGCATGAGGGTGGGGTCGCAGGGGTGTGGGGGGCTAGAGCCCAAGCTTCCCCAGGTCCCCTCCCTGACCTGGGGCACCCCTGTCAGGTGAACATTCTCTGCCCTCTTGGGTCGCATTTCCCTTTTCCTTCCATGCAGCTCATCTGCAGCCTCAATTTCCACCTCTGTTCCCCTGATGCCCAAATTGTAGCACCAGTGACTACCTACCTGAGTGCAGCTGCCTCCCACCATGTCCAAAGAGAAATCATTTCCCTCTCCTGGCATGGCCTCTCTTCATTCAGTGAAGACTGTGACATCCACCAGTGCCAAACTTGGACCTGGGACTCAGTCTCGACACCTTCCTGTCTCTCCCAACCTTGCTTACCACTGCCCAAGCTGTGCCTGGGTGAAGCTGTGGTCTCCCAGTGACCCTCTCACTCCCCTCTTGCCCACTCTCTGCCACCGGGTGCACACCACCGCCAGCAGCCAGGGGGAGCTTTTACACTTAACATCATGAGAGCCTGCCAGTCCCTTTCTACCCTTGGAAGGCTCCTCTGCCGTGTGGTGGCCATCACGTCCCTCCATATCTTAACTGCTGCCACACCCCACTGCCCTCTGCTCAGCCCCTGCCTTCCCTTCCTGGGCATACCTTCCCAAATGCACAGTGCTCTCATGAACAGCACCGGGGTGCCAGCCACCCTTTGACCCCAGGCAGAACTTCCCATCTGTCCCTGGGTCCCTGCTGTGCGGTGCTGCTGTGCCTGTGATGCGGGGTCCCCTCCTCTAGCCTGGCCAGGTGCCCGGTCCAACTCACCTCTGGATTTTCAGTGTCTGGAAGTAGGAGGCTCTTGGAAAATTCTGAGAGTGAACGTACGAAATAAACTGTCTCAAAGAGGTGGACACGGGCATGAGGTTCCTGGGCTCAGAAATGCCAGAAACCCAGCCAGCCTCCCATTTCTGCTTCGACCTGCCTCACTGGAGGCGTTTCCCTGGGGGACAGGGCTGGTGACTAAGTGAGGCCTAGGCTCCTTCCCTCACAAACCAGGCTGCCAGCTTTTGGCCTCTCCGGGGGAGGAAACCCAGCAGGGGCCAACCTTGAGACTTGCCTCCTAGGGAGAGAACGTGTTCTTCTTGGTGACCAATTCTGTCAGGTGAACATTCTCTGCCCTCTTGGGTCGCATTTCCCTTTTCCTTCCATGCAGCTCATCTGCAGCCTCAATTTCCACCTCTGTTCCCCTGATGCCCAAATTGTAGCACCAGTGACTACCTACCTGAGTGCAGCTGCCTCCCACCATGTCCAAAGAGAAATCATTTCCCTCTCCTGGCATGGCCTCTCTTCATTCAGTGAAGACTGTGACATCCACCAGTGCCAAACTTGGACCTGGGACTCAGTCTCGACACCTTCCTGTCTCTCCCAACCTTGCTTACCACTGCCCAAGCTGTGCCTGGGTGAAGCTGTGGTCTCCCAGTGACCCTCTCACTCCCCTCTTGCCCACTCTCTGCCACCGGGTGCACACCACCGCCAGCAGCCAGGGGGAGCTTTTACACTTAACATCATGAGAGCCTGCCAGTCCCTTTCTACCCTTGGAAGGCTCCTCTGCCGTGTGGTGGCCATCACGTCCCTCCATATCTTAACTGCTGCCACACCCCACTGCCCTCTGCTCAGCCCCTGACTTCCCTTCCTGGGCATACCTTCCCCAAATGCACAGTGCTCTCATGAACAGCACCGGGGTGCCAGCCACCCTTTGACCCCAGGCAGAACTTCCCATCTGTCCCTGGGTCCCTGCTGTGCGGTGCTGCTGTGCCTGTGATGCGGGGTCCCCTCCTCTAGCCTGGCCAGGTGCCCGGTCCAACTCACCTCTGGATTTTCAGTGTCTGGAAGTAGGAGGCTCTTGGAAAATTCTGAGAGTGAACGTACGAAATAAACTGTCTCAAAGAGGTGGACACGGGCATGAGGTTCCTGGGCTCAGAAATGCCAGAAACCCAGCCAGCCTCCCATTTCTGCTTCGACCTGCCTCACTGGAGGCGTTTCCCTGGGGGACAGGGCTGGTGACTAAGTGAGGCCTAGGCTCCTTCCCTCACAAACCAGGCTGCCAGCTTTTGGCCTCTCCGGGGGAGGAAACCCAGCAGGGGCCAACCTTGAGACTTGCCTCCTAGGGAGAGAACGTGTTCTTCTTGGTGACCAATTTCCTTGTGACGCCAGCCCAAGTTCAGGGCAGATGCCCAGAGGTAAGTTTGTCTAGGAGCCTCACATGGGGTCCCTAGTTCCTCCACCAGCCCTGGGTCACCATCCATGTTCCCGCTTCTCCTTCCCAGGTGTCTGAAGGCTCAGTATGTGCTTGGTGTTTCCCAGGCAGACAGCCAAATCTTTCTGCAAATATTTCATTTACTGTTCAAATATACCCTGCTGGTAGGAGTTACTGTGATTCTCATTTATGATGAGAAGTCTGAGGCCCAGCAAGGTTGAGTCACCTGCCCAAGTCCTCCCAGCCTCTTGGGTGGGTGACAGGACCTGGACTTCTGAGCAGCGACAGTTCCCATGAGGTGCCCAGACCCTTTCCCATTTTGGTTCTGCCTCTGGGTACTCTCCAGGTTGTTACTGTGATACTCAGAGCTGGGCACATGCTCAGATGGGCTCTAATAGGAAGAATCAAGCTGGAAAATCACCCTCCCTTCTCTGTGACTAGCCTCTATTAATGTGTCCCAAAGCAGTTTCCTTTTTTGTGGACAAACACCATACCCTTCTGCTCAGGCCAAGTTCAGAGTCCCTTATGATCCCTGTACCCTGGGTATGATTCCTGGGTATTTTTCACTGCAACCATGGTCAAGCCTGGGCCCCGAACCCTGTTATTGTCCATTTCTTATCCAGAAATACAGATTCTCCCCCTGACATTTTACCCTTTCCCTTTGCCTGGGGATGTCCCCAGGGATCCAGCATCTGTCACAAAGCTCGCTCATTCTCCCCAGCTGTGGATTTTGTTTGACTAGTTGGTAACCCAGGACATAGTCCTAGAAGCCTACCTCCATGGTGACATCTTTCTTTCAATTTTTTTTTTCTTTTTGGCAGTTGGCCAGTACAGGGATCGAAAGCTGGACCTTGCTGTTATTAGGACTATGCTCTAGCCAACCGAGCCAACTGACCAGACAAATTTTAACTTTTTTTGTGTGTGTGTGGCTGGCTGTTAAGGGGATCCAAAGCCTTGACCTTGGTGTTAGCAGCCCTGTGCTCTAAACAAACGAGCTAACAGGCCAGCCCTTGACATCTTCCTTTTATCAAGTTCAACATTTAATCACTTGTTGGGCTGGAGAGTAACTGTGCAGTCATCTGTCCCCTGAGCCTTGGGGGTTGGTCCCACCATAGCCACTGGGGACGTCACATGTCTGTGGTTTATCCCTATCCAGGAAGGAGAGGAGATATGTGCACAAATGATGTGCTTACCGTTGACGAGCCCACACAGTGTCCCTCCCTTTCTAACTGCTCAGATGTCTGTTTAGTGGTCAGTTTGTAGACTGTTCTGAAATTTTGCTGGGGCCATGGGTCTGTGTTTTCTGGAATCCATATGATTCCTCTTTGCCCATGTCTGGGCTTCTGGTTCTTCCCATGAAACTGCCAGGGCTGGGTGGTGATTCATCAGATCTGGCAACCTGGCTTCCTGACAATAACCAGATTCCTGCCAGCTCCTCTTGGGATCCTGGTTGTCTGGTCCCTCCCAGCAAGTGCACTGTGCTCGGCAAACACCTGCCGAGCCTCCCCCCAGGCCAGGCCTTGTACTGGGCTTGCAAAAGTCCACCCCTGTGTCTCGAGGACCACCGCACAGACAGCTCAGCCAAGGTGGCAGGTCCTACGATGGGGTCAGAGGCTGTAGGTGGGAGACCCAGGGAGGCACTCGAGCAGAATTTTAAAGGGTGAGGAAAAGCTGGCAAGTGGGTAGATTTGGTTGGAGTAGGACAT